CAATGGGAATCACTGTGTTGTGTTGTGTTGCTCCAAATGCGTCGGAATTATTATTGCATCTTTCGCATTATTTGCGGCTGTTTTTTTTTCTTGGCTGGTGGTGGTGATGGTGGTGGTGGTGGTGGTGGTGATGGTGGTGGTGGCGGTGGTGGTGATGGTGGTGGTGGTGGGGTGATGGTGGTGGTGGTGGAGTGGTGGTGGTGGTGGTGGTGGTGGTGGGTGGTGGTGGTGGTGGTGGTGGGTGGTGGTGGTGGTGGTGGTGGTGGTGGTGGTGGCGGTGGTGGTGGGTGGTGGTGGTGGTGGTGGCGGTGGCGGTGGTGGTGATGGTGGTGGTGGTGGTGGTGGTGGTGGTGGGGTGGGTGATGGTGGTGGTGGTGGTGATGGTGGTGGTGGTGGTGGTGGTGGCGGTGGTGATGGTGGTGGTGGTGGCGGTGATGGTGGTGGTGGTGGTGGTGCAACTCGACTCCGTCGGAAAACTGTGCCCCGAAAACCGGTTCAAGTCGTCTCGCAAAACGGATTGAAGTCGGTCGTTGTTCGTCGTTTTGTTTTGCACTCGGACTGCGTTTCACACTTCACGCACTCGCGTGGACGGTGTTCGTTACCCCCGCATGCCCCACCACCACCCACCACCCCCACCCCCCCCCCCCACCCCCCCAAGGAACCCTTCCTGAACTTCGTTACCCGCAAAGTAACAATAACGATCGTTGCATTCAGGAGGACGTCTGCGGTGAAGTGACTGCGTTTTGCGGGCGAACGCATTAGCGGCGCATTAGCAATAACGCCGATGAACAAGAAATGCAGCAATAAAAACCAGAGGCCACTGCGTTGGTGGGGAATGCTCCAGAATATTGTTGCACGAGGGTGAGCGCACGTATGTTTTTTTCTCTCCATAAGCATAACAGGGACAGGATGTGGGGCACTGTTCTTGGAAAGGTACAAAATAAACGCGTGCGGTTTATCGCACACACAATTGAATTGGTTTGTTGCGACGTTTATCCGATACAGTGCGCGTCTGGTCACCGACATCCAGTTGGAACAGACTTCATCCGTCAGGGCTGCGATGGGGGTGGTTGTGCTGTGGAAATGCTGTGGTCCTGTTGAACACACACTCAGACGCCAGTGATCAGACCCTGTAGCTCAGTGGTGAGAGCACTCCCTTTGCAAGTGAGAGACCTTGAGTTCAATTCCAGGCAGAGGGCGAAACCTCAGGCAAGTTTCCTTACTCCACACAGAGCCTAATAATAATCCCTCCAAAAAAACCCAAAACAATAATAAAGTGGTCATTTTCAATCCACGGCTGTTTGTGGGACATTGCTGTGCGCAATTGGCTGCCGCGTTCGCCCAGAAATATACAGTCAATTCACTTTACAGTGTGTTCTGCGAAGCGCTTTGGGATGTCCTCCCGACGTGAAAAGCGCTATATCAAATGCAAGGATTATTATTATTATTATTATTATTATTATTATTATCACCAAATGTACTCCAAACGAAATTATGGCGTTTGAGCCAAGGACGCGTAGAAATCATTCCCCACATCATGTAGACATTGGAATTATTCTGCAGATCTCTTTCTGAATGTACTACCAAAAGGGATCCCGATCCGAACGATGGAAACCAAACCAGTAGATCTGACAGCTGCAAGAAGATGCAGGACTGCAGGGCTTTTACTTTTACTTCTCCCCCCATCCTCCACCCATCCTCCACCCGCTTCTTCCCCCGTTGTGTCCTGTGGCCATCCATCATGCAAATGCAGAAAGAAAGGCTTTAAACAACGTTCACAAAGAGAAAGACTGCGATTAATTCAACAACGACTCGCAGTGTGTCACTAGCCATCTCTCAGTAAACGTGGCTAATTGACTTGTGACCCTCCAGGGCCCTGGAGGTCTGCGCATTTCTACTGCTTAGTGTAATGATGGATGGTAACACATTCATCTTAACCACCCCACCCACCCACCCCACCACCCCAAAAAAAATGATAGCCCCGCTCTTTTCTCATGTCTTCCAGCGTTTGCTGGAGCTTTGCGGAATAATCCGCGCTGCCAAGATTGTGCACTATTGTACCATTGTCCTCTCTGCTCATTTGCTTTCGTTCAAGCGGTTCGTTCCCACCGCCTTCCTCTCGGTGTGTGCATGTGGGAATGCTGATGTTAACCTCACCAAGGTGCCTGCTTTTGGGGGGAAGGTTTTAGGTTTTAGGGCAGTCAGTTTATTAAAGTTCGGGACACCTTAACAAGTCGACACTTCTTTTTATATATATATATTGGATTTGAATTTACGATCCAGACTCATTGTGAGGGACTTAGTCCAGCTACCTGCTCTTTGCCCCATCGATGGCTTTGGGGACATTTTAACAGGTTATCTATCCAAGTGTTATTTGGATAAAATGCACAGTCGTCGGCTAGCCATCGTATGATACTTTATAAACTTTCTTCCCGGCCCAAGTGGAACGTGGAACGAGTCTGAAACTACAAGTGTGTTTTTGCCAATTGCTATGGTTCAG